AGGACCGGTTGTGGTGTCTTGAGCGTGTGCGTGTGTGTGAAGGATAGGGAGGCGAGAAGTACATGTAACACTGCATACGACCAGGATTGGCCACGGTGCGGCTGTGCAGCAAGCTGCCATGGACAAGGCTAAATTGGCTCGATCTCAGGAGTGTCAACAGGGTTGGTGCAACTGCACGAAATGAGCATGGAGTCGATGTAATATGTTGGTGATGCAAGCATGCTGACAGACAGCAATAAGTTTCATTACTGAGGCTCAACATGAGCTGCAACCCCGGAATCAGGCGCGCGTCGTTACCCTACCGGTGCCAAGCGTGTCGGTGCAGAGCACGGAGCCTCTGAAGGAGGCGCAGCTATGATCCTTTTTTGGAGCAAGAAACCCACCTTGCTCCGAAAATTGTACGCTTCTGGAGGTGTCGGTGCCCAGCACCAACGGCGTCTCCTTGAAGGCAGCTCAGGAAACGGCCGCATCTGCTCAGGCCAGAGGTCAGCAGAGGTTGCTAGGACAGGAGCGGGGATGCATTCGAGGCCGTGAGATTCCCAGCCCCCCGGATTCTGGGCGTGAATGGCATCAAGCAAGAGAACGCCTCTGTGCTCCTGCGTGAGGCAGAGCAGGATGCGGGCTGTGGCTCGAAGTCTTCCATGCAGGGAACGTTTGGATGCTGTTTCGTTCGTGAATGTGTCTGTGCGCAGGAGGTTTCCAGGCATCAGCCTCTTCAGCCCAGAGGCACGGCAGAGCGCTGACATCTTCCGTGTGCTCGCAAGCCATTGCAGGTGCCCCTGATACCACCGGCGGAGAGGCGCCCAAGGTGATCGGAGGACTTGCCGACGGCCACTGCCCCTCCACGCCCGGGCCACAGCTTGACGCTACCTTCGGATGCCTTCGGCGTCTGCGACGTCGCCTTTGGTGAGCCAGGTCCTCTTCACCACGCAAGTCTTCGAAAGAGAAGCCCTCACCGCAGCGTGTTGGGGGCCCAAATGCAGGAACGCGTGCAGCTTTTGCCGGGAGATCTTTGCAGTGAATTTCTGCACCAATCCCAGGCTCGGATCATCGTGGACACTCCTGCCCCGGAGGATATCTTGAGAACGGCTAAAGTACACGGTTCACAACTCGAAGACATGAGCACCATGATGGCTTGCGAGACTTAGAAGAGCGAGCAAGATAAGACAGGATCCCGCCAGTCCAGAGCGAACGCCTCAGGCCGGTCAAGCGTCTTGAGTTCTGGTTTGCAGGGTGGGCACACATGGGCTGCTGTGCTCTACCCTACTGTCCACGTCCTTTTCCACCACGCTTTGAGTGTCACTGCGTTGAAGTGTTGGTTGTTGCATGTCCGCCAGGGCAAATCCTGGTTCAAATGCCCTGAGTGTGGCACTATGGTGGAGAGCATTGAGGAGGCGAGTCCATGTCTTGTATGTTGGTTCTTGTCGTGTTCCATCAGTGGGAGTGAGCTTGTGCTCATCTTCGAGCTTCACTATTTGCTGCTCCTGTAGTGCTGCCGCAACTAATTGCGGCTTACCGCAATTATCGAGGTAGTGTCAAGAGTCATCCGGTGGCTGACAAGAAAGCCGCCCTTTGGCTGTGTTTGTTGTGTGCAGGCAGTCGTCCACTGTGAAGCGACAACAAGCCCGACCAAAGGCCCATCAGTGAATGTGGCAGCAGCTCTTAGAAGCCTTATCCTGTCCTCATTCCTTAGTTGAAGGCGATCCCAGCCTGCAGGTGGATCTGGGCAGGATGCTGAAGCTCCGGAGAATGGTTTGTCAGGCCCCTGTACTTTGCGCGACATGTTCCACCTATGAGCTATTTTCAATGTTACATAAGCATCCTCCACGCATATGTAACGAGAGCGTCGCGAAGTCCGGAGATGATCCTAGGCAGGAAGATTGTACTCCTGCACAGGCCTGCCCAAAGGGGAACCTGTAGCCTACGATGAGCTGCTCGGACGAAACACTTTGGCGACGTTTGCTCCTGCTGTCGTTCTGCTTTCGCAGTCCTTGGGATCTCATTTCAGGCTTGGTCGGCCTTTGATCATGAGGGTCAAGGATCCGGAGACCAGCCAGAATCGAACCCTGGCCATGGCCTCGGCACACTACGCGAGCAGGCTGAGAAGCCATCAGTGTTTGCTTTGAAGGTGAGGCAAGACACTGGAGCCTACAGGGCCTTCGATGACGAAGATGTCGACACCCTGCTGAACTCCGTGACAGACGACGTTTCCAAGTCCGCGCCTGCGGTAAGAACTTCGAGGATTGAGGCTTATGCCGGCAAGTGCCAGGTATCTCGACGGTCTCTCCACGACCGAGCTACGTGGGCTAGTTCACGAGGCCCGGGGCACTTGAACTTGGTAGCTTCTAGCCCTGCGGGCTACGTCTCCCTAGCCTTTGCAGCTGTCATGCTCGAAGTGTGACAAGTTGAGCTAAATCTGAAAGTAGGTGCAGGGGAGATCGCATTCCTTTCTGAGAAGTTGCTCCACTGAGGGTCGAGCTTTCGATGCTTTCGATGCCACCTTGTGAGGTCGGTCAGCGGTTGCTGGAAAACTCCCAGCTTTATCACAGCCGTCTCTCAGAGCTCGAGAAGCCGAAGCCCCAACAGGGAAGCAGCGGCTCGTTCTTCTTTTTTCCGCGTTCTGCACTCGCGAGGCTTGGAGAGCAGGCCAACTTCGCGTTTTTCGGGCTTGACTGCGATGCCACCGAACGGGATCTAGACAATGCGCCTGGCACTCAAAGGGTGTTTTCTTGTCAGACACGGCTGCAGTCCGATGGTGCATGAGGTACCGCAAACTTGCGAAGAAAATGCATCCTGATAAGAACGGTGGAACAGAAGAAGCTAAAAAGAGGCCTGCTGCACTGGTACGTAGACCTCGCTGCATTACGGTCTTTTGGGATAGAATAAAAAGTGCCTGCTCTTGGGCCCGCCGGCTGGGAGGTTTCAAGGGATGAAGGAAAGGTACGAAGCATTGAAAAAGCGGCTGGCCGGGGACTGCCTCCAGGAGCGTAGGATTCGCGTGGGAGCCGAGATTTCGTTGTTGTTCTTTGTCTTCGGAGGACAGCGGTGCCGAGGAGCCCGAAAAAGAGAACGACGAAGGTAGGGGTTGGAAGGCCTTAAGGCTGCCTTTCAATTGAAGCTTGCAGGCGACGATGCAGCTGCCAACAAAGAAACGGATCAGGAGAAGGCTCCTACCGAAGTGCATCAGCGCATCGCCAATGCAAGTGCTGACGGCTGGGGTTCATCAGGAGAAAGGCGATGGCAAGTCTATCGAATACGATCCGGGAGACAAGGAGCCACAGAAACAGCCATCTGCCTTCCGAATCCAATTTTGGGGCTTGTCGCATCAGGACTCCATGGTCCAAACTGTCTCCAAGATGGCCGGCCAGCTGAAGAATATCGAGATACAAATGAGTGTCTTGATGAAGGCCGCAAGTGCCAGTGCCGCAGCTCAAACAACAGAAGAAGAGCGAGAGAAAGAGAAAGAGAAAGAGAGAGACAGCTGCGTTTACATGCATGCCTTTCCTAAACCCTAAACCCCGCGCCATCAAGACGACCAGTTGCCGACCTTTCCCTTGCAGGAGCTTTCACGGGTGAAGTCGCAGGTGCCCTGAAAGGCAGAGGCCTTGAGGGCTGGAATTCCTGGCAGCTGCAGTGACTCCAGCACATGGTACTTGTGGAATAGCACCAGCACCTTTTGCTTTTTTTTGCGCTGAAGTCACACAGCTTGCCAAGCACATAACGAAATTGACCTAGGTCCTAGGACCGCGGCAAGGGTGGCAATTTCTGCTCACACGCAGCACTGCCGCTCTGCCGCCTGCAAAACGCAATCCGCAAAGAAAAACAAGAGCTTTCATGTGGCATAAGATTGGAGGTTGTAGAGTCATCGTGGAAGCTGTTGGCTGCTAGCCGCCATGACTCCAATCTTTCCAAAACAGCCTGGGGGTAGCAGGTGTTGAAGGTGCACAGCATCATTGTTTCGCATGCTTATGGGTAGGCAGGGGAGGTGACATGCTGAATGCAAATGAACCCGTCTGGTCTTCCAGACCGCGACATCTCGTAGTAGCCATGCATGCTCCTCAGTGGTGTGTCACATTTGCATGCCAATGGTGATCCTTCGCATCAGCATTAGGCAGGATAGTGTTCTACAATGCCGACCGCATTTCTTGTCCATTTTGTAAAGACTGAAGGGGAACTTGGGAACTCCTTGTGATCACGTGGCATTGCATTGCGTGTAGTTCTCCAACTTGGATCAATGCTTGCTGTGTTCGCCCGTATGGCTTGGTGCTTGGAGGTCTCCACGCACGTCTGTGCTCTTTATGGTTTGTCGGCTCACCTTTGTTCCCTGCCGCGTCTTCTACCTTCGAAAGCTGGACTTGATCAAACTGGACTGACTTACTTGCACTCCGCTGGGAGTTGCTGGGCCCTTTTAGACATGTGCAAAAAAGCGATTGCAGGATTCATGCATGCCGGAAGTTGTCCGAGCGTTCTGTGAGTGAAACTTAGCCACTCTTCCGATTCACCTCGCTAGCTTTCACCTCTGCTTGCACAGATCAAGCTGAAAGGAGACGTTGGTTTGGCTGCATCTAGGCTTCACACATGCGCAAGACGAACGGTGACTGATGTTAATGTCTTCATTGGCATCTCTTTGAACACTAGATGGCACCTGATCAGCATGTGTACAGCCCCTTGCCAGCCCCTTGCCGATTTTAGCATCGATGTTTGAATTTGTAGCAAAGTTGTTATGCTGCAGCACGGTATGCTGTTGTGTCTATGCCTTCGTAATGGCTTCGTAGTGGTCTGTGTGCTTCTTTGGCAACAAGGAGTGTTTGCCCCTTCCAGCATGCCCAGTTTTCGTACTCGCATGTATCACGATTGCCAAGACGAGTCCAAGGCAAGACTAACACAGGAGAAGTGGGCGGTAGGCGCCAGCGGTTGTCTCGCCGCGGCTGTTTCTCAATGGTAAGGTATCAGAGTTTCTGGCACAGCAAGTGCCGTAGCTGCACGATTGACCTGCATGCATGGATGCAGCCGATGCTGCTGCAGAAGTTGAGTCGCAGTCGCGCACAACCTGGGAGGAGGCAGCAGCCGTCTTCAGGAGTACGGGGCATGTCTGCGTAACGCATGCAACAGCGCGGGGCAGTCGTAATCCTCGTGGAGGTCAGATCTGAACTGCCAAAAATTTGTGTGTGATCCGCAGCAGTAACGGGCTTTCCACAGGACTTTGCCTGGAGGTGGACAAGGCAAGAGAGCATCGTGGACTTTGCTGAAGCAAGATAGTGCTGTGCTCTTTTGCAATCTCGCAGCCATGTTCCCAGACGCATGGTAGGTATCAAAAACGGTTCAATATCTAACCCGGACAGCAGGCCTTTCCATCCTCGGTCACGATGTCATGGAGGAGCCTGTTTTGTTGCTTTACCAGCTCTACGGTTCATGGGACGGTGTCCAGGACTGGGAAGCGCCTTACATGGACGCTCTGGCTGGGGTGGCGGCATCGCAGCCTGGGCCAGTGCTGGAGGCCGTGGATTTTCCTGCCAAATTCCCCAAGTCCGGTGTTGAGCTTTGTCCTTCCCGCTGATTTCTCGGCTCAGGTTGGTTACGGGCTGGGCCTGTCCGCTGCAGCCATTGCAACTCGTCGTGCACTGGTGGGGACCAGGTACCTCGCACGTGCTGTAATTGGCTATAATGCCTGCCCGATGGTGCTGTAGTCGGCGCATGCGCCGAACGACCAAACAAGCAGGCTTCTACCCAAGTGAACCATGGCATGCCAAGCGCTTCAGACCTGGAGGAAGCTGCCTCGAAATCTGAGCCCCTTGTGAAGCTGAGGGCTCGCAAGCTGGAGGAGCTTTTGCAACCTGAAGACACGTGAAACGTTCCTTGGGAATCTGAGGATCAACGTGGCGTAGAAGGGCATGTGATCTTGGAGGCGAACTCGGAGGTCCTCGGTCGTGCCGAGCTGTGGGCAGAGGAAGCCACGTGCCTCGGAGCGGAAAGTTGAGCTTGCGGGCTCCACGGCCTCGAGCTTTTGTTGCATCTGAGGTGCCCGACCATCGTCCTCGGAGGATTCTGGCAGGATCTCGTTGGCAGCATGACGGACGCCACCTTCGCTGGTATCCTCTTCGATGCATATCCACTTTCGCCCGGAGAGGCTGCTGGAGATGGGGAGGTTGGGGCTTTCTTCGTCGAGGCAGCGAGACTCCTACGTCCTGGTGGGGTCTTCACGTTCTACTTCGATGCAGGGCGGAACTGGATCGAATGCGTGCGCTCCTTCCAGCTTCAGACCGTCCCCAAGCTACGGGATGCCGGCTTCACAAAGGTGGAGCACGACCAAGTTGCCTGCACACCTCGACCTGGATGCACCTATTTTTGGAAGGATCGCTTTCTCGTTCCGATAGCTACTCGTTGAGGACTGTCTCCAGTGCAAAAGTCCCGGCAGTCTACCGGTCGACGGGAACACAGAGGGTCTCGACATGCCCCCAGGGCCCTGACGACTGAGACTGAGACGATGGCAAGACCGGACAGCTGGCTGAGAAGAGGCCATCCGACAAAGCCAGATTTATCAGCATCAAGGTCCTTTAACTGGCCTTGCAACGGCCGCTGCGGCCAACGTCCCGAGGTCTCCAACTATGACTGCAGCCCGTCTCGCGACAAAGAGGCGGAACCCGACTCCGAGAGCGTCCTTGAGTCCAGTACAGCGACCCGCCTTCTGGCCCGAAGTGACATGGCGAGTGCAGGACATCCAGTGCACAGGGTCTTGTGGTCCTGATGCCGCCTGGGACCGGTGGACTTCCGCGACTCGTCGCAAAGTGTGTGTGACGGCTGGCATCTCTGAGGACTCTGTGTTCTGCAGTGTGTTTGGAAGACTTCCGAGCATACCAACAAGCCACCTACTGATGGAACGATGACTTGGCTTGTTCGTCTCGAGAAAAAGGGGCATTGCAGCTCAGTTCATGTCGCGAAGCACATCTATTTATACCGATTCTTGCAGTTGCAGTCTCCATGTATCCCTGGCTGGTCGACCAATTGAAATCGGGACTTCGAGTTGGAGTCTTGCTTGCGAACGGGGATTGGAGCTAAGGGACAGGGCTTTTGTGAGGACTAAGCTTGTTGCAAGTGTGGTTAAGGAAGCGTTGCAGCGGACCCCAAAGGCGCAGCTTTTGAAGCTCAAAGATGACATTTCAGTGGCCTTTCGCCCTTTACCACCAGGGCGGATATCAAAGCCTGAAGAAACCAGATGCAACTACCATTCCTTCGCCCGCAAACCCCGGACGCTGCTGTCTCTGCAGCAGGAGAAGTGACCTCATGACAGACTTGACGAGCGCAGTCTCCAGCTCGTTCTAAAATCGACCAACAAGAGTGACTCAGATTTGCACTCTAGACCAGGGTCCCTGTCCTTGACCGGTCGTGCTTGCGGCGTGTGGTGCTGCTGAATGGCCAGTGGACCCAGCAGCCCCACAGCCAGGAATGATCTGCTGCTCGGCTCTGTTAGGGGGCAGTCCAGGCAGCTGCCCGAGCTTCTTCAAGCTTGTCCTCAGGATGAAGCAAACAAGTTAGTTGTGTGTGCGACTCCATCTATGTAGCATTGACTGGTACTGCATGGATTGCTCTTTATTCGGTGATGATGCAAGGTTGGACAAGCCTGTGGCCCAGAGGACAGAGAGGCTGCGAAAAGCTCGAGACAGCATGAAGCCCCTGCTCGCATCTTGGCCATCAAGAAACCCTGTGATTCGTGTTCATATATATATATATGTACATACATTATGTTGCATTATATGCGAGTTTAGGTTAGTAATGAGATGGGTTAATTAACTGATCATCCTGCGCGGGAGGTCTGTGCACGAGTGCCTGTGTATAGTATTTACATTTAAATCTGAAATATGTATACATGCAGATCGCACGTGTATTAGCGTAGCTATGTATGCGTCTGCGCTTTTTGGAGGCCTTGCCACAACTTCTGTTGCTTGTCGAAAGGCTTGCCACAGGCATACCGTAACTCGCCACGTTGACTTTCCGGTGGATTCAGGTGAACTCGTCTTGCTACTTGGAGGTATCCTAAACCCTTATCCCTGTGAAGTTTGCAAGTGATAGAGCTCTGGAGTACATAGGATTAGTCTCTATGCCTTGTAAACACCACAGCAATGGCGCCACAAATTCAAAACGAGCCAGACTATTCATGGAGTTGGTTTTATTTCGGGCTCGGAGCATGTTTGCTCCGCTTTGGTAGTTCATAGTTCGGACTTAGGATGCTATTTGGACTCCGGGGGTGGACAGGATAGCGGTTGCGGTTTGAAGAAGCGGCTATTATTCATGCTCTGCACACCCAGCTTGCAATTCTTGTGCCAAGGAGAATACGTACTCCTTCGCAAACAACTGCGAAACGGCAACGCCCCTGGATACGTGAAGTGCCTGATTGGCCAGCAGCTACGTAGCAGTTGAGTAGTTGAGATGAACCTTTGCCCGTACATTGAATGTGCATGTGGTCCCGAATCTGCACGATTCTTTCCAGAGGTTTTCCGAGAGTTCCGTGTGGCGTGCGTCCACCTGCGCAAAGAGCGTGATGCGCTCGACTCTCTCGAGGAGCAGAATCTATTGTCCAGCTTCGCTCTCCTGTGAGAGTTAGATTTCGGTGTTTCGAGACGAGATCTATTCGTTCCATGCTGTGCTTTACAGTGCTTGGTGCAGCATCGCCGCATGTCCGGCAGGAGAAGAATGTGGCATGGAGATATCTTTGTAAACTCTGCAAAGAAAGGCGCGCAAGTGTCGCGCTTGTCGCCTGCCAAGTGCTCACCCCGCAAAGATGATGCAAAGGCCCTTCTTACATGATCGAGTGCATGAAGCATCTCGGCAGCGGAGTGAGCAGTCGCCCCCAACATTGAGAAGCAGTGCGGATTTTGAAGGAATGCTGCTCCCCAGGTTGGAAGTGTAGCAGCATTTGCAGAGCATGCTCAAGGATAGCTAAATTGAAGAGAACCAGGTGTTGCAGATATTGCTGATGAGTGACGCTTGGATGAAGGCCTTCGCAGAGGCCGGCATGCAATGCGGATGAGAAGGTTTTTGAAATGTATGTTACTGAAGCTTGTTCACTTCTCTCCCCGGGAAACTGCCATGTCATGTGGAGTTGCAGGTTCCCAGACTCAACACTTGGAGATGGGTAGACTGTCGTCAGGACGCCGAGTGCAATGTCGGAGACCTGCCGCCAGACATGCAAAGCGACATCAAGCGGAGGGCCGACGAGCAGGTGCGCACTCTGGTGTTCTCGCTGTCGATTCGGAGTGCGTGTAGTTTCATCCTACCTCATCCTACTTTCAGCAACTCAGCATCAGGCTACCGAACCCGCCGCCGCGGGCTATCCGGCGCCTCGGAAGGTTTCGGACCAGGCCCGAGCCATGGCGAACCTGGCCTTTACGGAACTGGGGCTGAGAGTCTTGGTGTCCGGGAGGGGGGGCGGGGGGGCATTTGGGCGAGTTGAGGGTAGTCGTCGTCAAGAGTTCGAAGGAGCTGTCATGAAAGGTCGCAGGGCATGCAAGGCCAGCGGGGCACAGCATGCAACAAGCTGCTAGGGCTAGAAGACACGGCCCATGCACGATGAATTTCGGGACCCGGAATGAGCACCTGCAAGGCTTCAGTGTGAAACTCGATGTCGCCTGCAGGCCTTCCGTGCTAGTGGCACGATTGCCGTGGTGGTCCAGCGCTGTAACCGAGCAAAGCTCCAAACAAATGAGGAGACCGACACCTGGGCGGCTTGGCTGAACTTGGCTGAGGCTGAAGGCTATGTTATGTCTCAGTAGCCCTTCCCGCTTTTCAGGCTGAGATTGGCCCTGGCCTTTTTGTCGCCGTCTCCTTCAACAAGGGGGCGACCGAAGACAAGATCGGCCCTGCTGCGAGGCATGGCATTGTCCAGTCATTCAAACCCTGATTGACACCGGCCCAGCGCCCCACGACTCCACGACTGGACCTAGAACGACTGGACCCCCAAAAAATGTCAAACACACAGACGCCACCCTGCCCTATGAGCCTGAACTCCATGTTGCCCCAGAGATATCTCAGCCGGAGCAATCCAACATGTGGTGTACTGGAGCAGGTTTCTACTGACAGCGAAGCTCTCGCAAGCAAAGGGTTCGAAAGAGGTGCCCTGGGAGATGTGTTCGGCCAGAATTTATGTCGGAGCTTACTGAATCCGGTTTGTAGCTTCTGCACAGCTCCGCAAGCGCTTGACTGCTGGAGCTCATCTTGGGCCTAGCTGCCTAGAGCAGACATCTACAAGAGCAATTGTGAGATCCAGCAAAGCTGGTAAGTTCAGCCTTCAGCCTGCAGGCAGAGTCTGTGGCGGCGATTTCACAGCGAGGTGACTACCAGGCAAGAGGAGACAAGACGCGGGCCACGGCCAGTGCTCCTGCTGCACCTCTGCTGCAGGGCATCCTCGTCCTGCCGCAGGCATTCCCCGCCTTTCCGTCTTCGATTCGGTGTTTCATAGCGCCTGCTGTGTTCATGCATTGGAATCAGGCTTCACTCGTGTCCGACCTCAAGGACGCTGTCAAACACACGCTCTTTTTGGGCAAATTCCTGCTGCCAGCTGTTTCGACAAACATGGCAGCTACTGTAAAGAGATGAAAGAAGCCAAGTCTTCGATGTGATACTCGCAGCAGCTGCTGGAGCCGTTTGAACAGGACGCTGATGTGAGGTATTCGCAGCAACTACAGAAGACCGGCGCCCATCGATTATACGACGCGTTTGTGCAGGCTGGGGGGATGAGTCAATTGAGGGCAGCCTCTCTTTTTGATGATCGAGTCCATGGGTTTCTTGGGTCGGGTGCGCTGGCTGCTGCCAAGGCACTGCACAGCACTGCCGCCGAGCTGGCCGGGGACGGCAAAGCAGCAGAGATTGTTGCAGGTCACCGAAAGAGCAGTGGGCAGGAACTTTAGGAGGTTGTGTGCCTTTGCTGCTCGCAGGTGACTTCGATGCTCCCCAGGTTATGGAAGTGGCTTCCAATGGTCCATTCATGCATTCCTTCACGGTGTGAGCAGCCGGTCCAAGAGCATTTCGCTCGCCATGGCTGAAAGGCCTGCCAAAATTCTTTTCTTGAAGTCGTTTCAAATCTACCCCCTGCCCCTTGCATCGTCATTCCGGCGAAAGCCACTCTCTGGGCTCCGCAGTAGGCCTGATCCATCCGGGCAAACGAAAATGTCGGCGGAGGCTCATCGCGAGAGAAACATGTCCACAGCATTTTCGTCAATGGCCTGTGTTGTCCAAAGCTAGCTTCGGCAAGTTTCAGCTCTGATCGGCAAGATGCTCAGATGCACCTGGAACTGGGAACTCAGAACATGACCTCAAAACGACTCCGTGCCTGCTTTCGGCTCCGCCATGTAGTTTTCGCACTGGTCGACCATACTCCAAAGCCAATTTCAAGGTTGCAGCTTCTAAAGTTTTACAGGTCGGTCGCAGAAGCTGTTCAGCAGTAAGGTCGTCTTCAGAACTCTCGCAGTTCCAAGACCCCGATCTGCCTGGTAGCCTCACTCCCGACTCGGCACCCCATGTGCCATGGTGGCCAGTTGTGTGAGCTGTCTCTCGATCGGAAGCCGCAAGGCGGGCTAGTATTCGCTAGTGCTTTGTGCCTGAGGTCGGGATGTTCCTTTCCATGCGGGTGAGTGTTTGTGCAGCCGCAGGCTCCGAGAGAGCGCAGCGATTCTATCGATAGCCCCAGGGAGGCGGCGAAGCAAGTTCGCCTTCCCGCTGACATGAGCGACAGAAGTGTCCGTTTCTCGGCCTGGAACTCTTGCACATCACATTCTCTCGAGAGCAAGTGGGAAGCAAGAAAAGTTCGCAGGAGTCCTCATGTCTTTTTGCGCGTAGACTGCTTGCGAAAACTGGCACAATGGTAGTGAAATCGCATGCACTGGTGATGCCAGTTAGACATGCTGGCTGCATGAGCATATCTTGCCATTGAGGTAAGAAGCCTGCAAGCAAGGGTTCTTCGCCAGGGTCCTCGACACACAGTGGTTCGACTACGCAGGACCATGAGCTCATCTCAACCGAGTACGACTTTGCCACCTTCCCGGCCGCTGTCCAGGTAAGGAACCTTCCGATTGTCGTGTTCGATGACGAAGTGGATGAACAAATGGTTTGGGACTCTGGTGTCGTTAAAGATGGTGTGGTTCAACACGCGCCCGGACCACCAGACGTTCGGGTGAAGAACCCTGTGGTAATGTCGAACGCCTACAGAGGCTTTGTCGTCCAGCCGCATGAAGTAAGATACTTGCACTACCGAGATGTTGGCATAATATTTGCTCGCCCGCTTGGTGGTCGCTTCATGCAGCCCAGTATCGACACTGTCCTTGTCTGTCGGGCTTTAGTAGACTGCCTAGCGGAGATGAAGCAGGTGAAGCGAGTCATTGATGTTGGAAGTGGCTCTGGGCTGATAGGAAAGTTTGCCGCGCATTACGCGCTAGGAGATGGAGAGCTAGAGGTTACTCTGGTAGATATTGACCCCGTCGCTTTCAAGTACTACCAGAGCAATACTTTCAATGCGCAGAATGTGGTTGGCGCTGCTGGTCGTTCCGTAGATTGGAAGTTTCGTGCAGAGGATGCGGTGGCTCTTCTCAACGACGATGCAGCTTTTGACCTTGTCGTCTCGAATCCGCCTTACATCCCAACCAAAGGCGAGGCAACGAGCAGTAGTTTGTCGCCTTTGTCCGGAGGCTTCTGGGAGGGGGTCGGTCTGGTCGCATATCTCCTGAAGCTGATCTCCGAGAGGCCTGCGGGACCAGCACGCCAGCTGGTAGCATCTACAGCTGTTGAGCAGAAATCTGAGCATCTCTGAGCTCTGAACCCGCGACATCTGAGGCCTGGTGATGATGATCTCTTCCCTGACGCTGAAGTCGCCTGCCATCATCAATGCCCTTGAAGCTGCTGAGAAAAGAGGCTGTAAGCTGCAAGTCCTCTTGGAAAGGGAGATCGCCCCTCGGCAAGAGGTATAAGTGCAAGGGTTTCTTGTAAAATTTCTGACGATGGAATGGATCGCATCGGCCCGCTCAGGGCTGGAAAGCCTGGTACGCCGGCCCTGCGGCCCTGGACCACCTGCTTGCAAGTCAGAAAGAACTGCGCGAACGCCGCAGCTCCTCTGAAGTTAGACGACGGCGAAGTTGCGGCTCAAAGTTCGGAGAGAATTAGCATGACGACCGTGATGGTTACGGTGATGGTGATGGTGGTGCGGTGGGTGGTAACGATGATGCTGCCAGTACTGTCAGTGACCAGGTCGTCGTTGTGATGGTAACAGCGCGACGATGGGAAAGTTTGTGGGGTGTGACTACCCCAAGCCCGAAACCTGACATGTCCCTGCAAACGTCTCGGAGGTTGACCCCGGCTAAAGGACAACCTCTAGGAGTGTAAATTTCGGCCATTCTGAAGTCCTGCACATTCCATTTGTTGGTGGCCCAGACACTCCCATTGTAAATATTGTCAACATCTTTTGATTCTATGATCATCATTGCTTTGCCTTTACAGGCCTTAACGGTATCTAATTGTTGAAGGCATCGTCATGGTGGCCGCAGCAAGGCAATGCTACTGACCTATTAACAAACGCTCATCACGAAGGAATGAAGACAATCTTCTTAGATTTTGTTAGCTTTCATTTCCAGTTCTGCTGTCATGAACATCGTCGTCGTGAAACAGAATGCAGCATCATGCCTACTGCTTGCTGCGATTGTTGGGGGAGCCCGCTAGGGTCTACTTCTGCGGCTCAATGCAATAGGAGCGCAGCTTTGGCAGGGGGCTTTTGGAAATTTTTCCTTATGCTGCAAAGCTGCGAGATGGCGACATGCCGCGGGAAGTTGCGAAGCTGCGGGCCAAAACTGACACGTCGTGTGCCAGAGCGAACCCGCTTGCGCCAGAACTGACACATCTGCTAAGCTCCGTTCATGGTTTGTGGATGTTGACGGTGCATGCGGACCTGCGCCATCAAGCGTCATGAGTCATGAAGCGTGAACAATTCACATCGCTTGGGGCCTGGGGGTGGGTTGTCAGACACAGGGGCTTGCCTGTGTCTTTTGGAGACCTCCTCCTTGCTCTGGAGCCTAGAACAGCTTCGAGATGTTGCAGCGCAACCTCCCTACTTCCCTGCTTGCTTTATGATTTGGTCGTTGTTTTTATTTAACTGGTGGCCCATCCGAAAAAATCGTTCATCCTGCGGTGGCCAAAAACTTAAAAGTTGGATATTTGGACGCCAGAAGCGCCAAGTGTTCAGGTGCCATCGCTGCCACCAGCCCAAGGCTTTGGATCCCTCGTGCCCAAACCCTGGCCTCCGGCAAAAAGAACACACCGACAAAGCGGGAAACGGAAGAGAAAGGACCCGAATAGGATGTGGCAAAATGCAGACGTCCTCGGCACTCCTCATTCTAGCTGTGTGTCACGGCAGAGCGTCTTGGGTGCGAGGCAAAGTGGCGGGTTGCAAGTTTTTCATCGGGGCGACGGCACCGGGCAACAGCCGAACTGGACTTGATGGCCGGGATGACTTGTGCCTGGGTCGCATTATGCTGCAACTCACTGGACTGCTACTCTTGACGCAAGTGTTCTGTATGGTTGCTGCCAGGTGGGGCTACCATTGGCATTTTGCCTACGTTCTAGAAGTTCAAGCACCTCGCTGTTGAAACATGGTCGCTTGAGCTCTTTTGTGGTCGGCATATGCCGCAGTCCGCATGGCCGTCGCAGGGTGCTAGAGGTGCTGGGTGATCTGCGAAGTAAGCATGGGCTCATTATTTCAATCCAGCTTTAGCAGCCTGCGTGCATGAATGTCCCAGACGTTTCGTTGGCCTATGTATCTTGAGGTACACGGCCAACATGAATAGCCCTTATTTTGGATGCTCTGCGCATCACTGTCCGGCTAACGAGGCCCATGCTTAGCTGGCAACTTGTGTGCATCAACACCTACTCCTTGTGGCCACTGGCATACGAAATCATCCAATTAATGGTGTGCCCGGTCTTGACGTGAAGGGTGGGAAGGCAGATCCTTCATTTCGCTATGTCAGACTTGCGACAGGCATGTACTTGACAGGCTTGCTACCGCGCACACATTCATGTAGCTTGCTTGAGTCGAAACAGTGGCTGTGAATGTGACAGGCATGCCTCCCCCTTCGACATGCTAGGAATGTCGGTTCAAGAGGTGGGAATCCATACCAGTGATTGCATAGCCACGGACATACTGCATTGCAAGAGATAGCCATCATGGGTTGCCCAAGGGCATGGGTCAGTGCTGAACTCTTTGGTGGTTGAGCTTCGAGGGGTTACGACCCCGACACCGACATGTCGTATCGGGAATCTTCCCGTGCAGCTCCGGGCATCTGGACAGTTGACGGTTCTGAGTCACTCATCCAGGAAGTTTGAAGCGCAAGTGGTAGTTCTGGGCATCTAAAACGGTGTGCTTTTGCCACGTCCAGTGTCATGACAGTTGTGCGTGCACAACGAATCATTTGGGACCTGCTTTGCGGGTGACGGATGCTGTCATCGTTTGTAGGACGCGCCTGCTCTATTTTTGGAGCGCGTTTAGCTCATGGCAGCTCTGCATGCCGTGGCCCTTCAGAGGTGCCGAGAGAATTCTATTTCCAGCAGCCGTATCGGGCTGTCGCTGCGGTTAAGGCGATGCCGGAGGGACTTTGATGAGGATTGGATGCGTAGTTGTCGACTCGGAGCCGTGTTTGAGCTGGTCCCTGGCTCTGCCGTGCACTGTCAGTGAACTCAACTTTTGCCTTCGGGCCCGCTGCAATGTGGGCCTGGTTGAGTTGGGCTGGGCGCTCGCTTCTGCGAAGCCAGAGAACAGAGAGGAGCATGGCAGCAACGCGTAAAACAGGCAAAGGCTGCTTACAGTAGATGGCTTAGATGTCGCATTGCATGAATTGCATGCAGTCATGCTACATCCACAGATTCATCCTTCGGGTTTCTGCCCTGTGAAGCATCGGCATCAGAATTCCTGCAAACCAGGCTTCTGAAAAATGCAATCTGGCTAGAAGAGCCATGCTAGGTCGTTACCGGTGATATGAACACTCCAACTCCACGGAAGCCGGTTCGGTTGCCTTTGCTGTTGCAGCAACCTGTGTGCGAGTTGGCAGCTGGGGGCTCGACACTTTCAAGTTACCTTGGCACTACATGTGGGGATACTGACGTGTTGCTTCGAAGATCGAGACTCGCAGGTAATAGAATCCGGAGTTTGAAGACCCCACCAGACACGGCTTTTGTGAGCGAGTGAATTTTCATGATGTAGACGTGCTGAAACCCATGCCGCTCTCAGTGTCTCAGCGTCGTGCGGCTGTTCGGCAGTTTGTCGCTGACAAGCACGGTCGCGCCTGGACCAAGAATGGTTTGCAGGTCCCTTTGTTTTGGTTGGTGCGACGCTGTGTTGCCTAAGGCCCAGATGATAGACGGCTGGATGGGCCACAGCTGAAGCGTGTCGACCCGGGGCAGAGGCTGGTCCCTGCCCCCGACGCTCAGGCCGGATGCCCAGTATGGCCCAGTGATACCATATATATATATACATATGTATATATATATATACACACACCTACATACATACATATAGATAATTGACAACAAATACTACGAATAGTAATGGTTATTATCAATACTGTCTACATATATACATACCCCGAATACCGAATAGGGACGCAACTGGGCCGATGTGGCAGATATCAGGTCGCAGAGCGACGGCAGGCCGCTGTGGCGCGGGTCCGACAGCGGCGAGCAGAGCGCGCTTTGGAGTCGTTGGCCCTTGCCTCATCTGCCACCAGAACTGGCTTTGGGGTTTTAGGGGTTTAGGGTTTAGGGATCCCAGTTGGGATCTCTGCTTTCTGGAATGGCGCATTCAGATGCAGGCGAGCCAAGATCGACATGCAGATGCGTCGGAAACGAAAGGAGAGCTTGGAGAGGTGGGGACCCGAGAGAAAGGGAACAGAAAGCTGTGCGGACTTAGTTGCGTATGTCTTTCCTGAGGAAGCTGATGGGCTATTCGACGAAAGAGAAGCACTTGGTCAGGCATCTGTTTGTTTTGCAAGCTGCTGACTGCTGTGGGTTGGTGCCACTCCTCCAGCCACTAGGCTAGCAGGGGGATGGAAGAGCAGCAGCAGTCGTGAAACAGTAGCATAGTGGCATTGCGCATGGTGTCGTTCAACTCAATGAATAAGCATCATGAGCCGAAGCTTACGTTCTGACTAAAGGCCGACACATGTAACGCTCGAACTCATTCCTCGATCGAGAATTACCTTGTTTTTCGGACTTTTGACTGCATCAGGACTTCGAAGCTCAACGAGAGCCGAAGAGCGCCGTCCAGCTGCCTGAGGTGTGTTTGCGTCAAAGACGCAGATAGCAACATGCCAGCAGCTGCGCTTTTTTGGACAGCAACATACAGCAACAGAGTATTTGCACGGAGACGAAAAATACCACGTGAAAGTTGAACTGGAAGGTCGTCGTAGTAGTAGTAGTAGT